TAATAAGAAACGGAGCAATTCCAATAGGGTCCTCACACCATCGGTGCTCGGGCCCTAATAAGAAACGGAGCAATTCCAATAGGGTCCTCACACCATCGGTGCTCGGGCCCTAATAATGTGACACTGAAGACTGGATTAACAGCTGCTGAAAATTCAGCTTTGCTATCACAGGAATAAATTACATTTTTAAATATATTAAAATAGGAAACAGTCATTTTAAATTAAAATATTTCACAACATTACTGGTTTTACTGATTTTTGAATAAATAAATGTAGCCTTGGTGAGCATAAGATACTTTTTTTGGGATAAACATTACAAAAATCTTACCAACCCCAAACTTTTCAACAGAAGTGTATGAGCTGTCAGTCGCTAGTAGACGTTCTTCTTCAACTTCTGGTTGCCTTGCAATACTGGTGGGCTGCACAACGAGCCACAGCTATTGAACTTCGCTGCTGTTAAAAATGTCACTTTATTTTGACAATTACACTTTTTTGACACTAAAAATGAACACTGTGGAGGGGAAGCGCTCATGTAAGTTGCAGGAATATCATCTATGATTAAACAAGATGAGAATAATGAGAAGGAGAATATATGGTCTTTGCACATGCCACCTCTGACTATCAGCTCTCATTGAAAACATTTGCTGCAAATCAAAGTGAGCAAAGCTTCATATGTTCCATTTAAACATGTAACCATCCTTCAGGAAGCACCTGAGTTGTTGAAGTCCAGAGAAATTATGGTGTCTCCTGCAGCAGGCGCCAACACAGTAAGAGCCTCAGGCTCCTCTTTCAGCTTGTCATAAAGATCAGAGCTCTCCACGGGACACTTGAGGCTTTCTGGCTTGAAGAGTTTGAGTATGTCCACCTCAGAGGCCTCATCTTCCATCTCCTGGTTCTCTTTCTCCTCAGCCTCGGGCTCTGTCTCAGTCTGCTGCAAGGACAGGACAACATCCCCCTCCACAATGCCACTGGACGGGACAGAATGGTAAAGTTGGATTATGATCAGACACATTTGTATACACACTAAATACAGCAAAGAACTTTTCACGATATTTTGCTTCTATAAAACCACTGGTCCACTAAAGATGTGACCAAACTGGATTTGTACCTGAGAACGTAGTTGACGCACACAATGCACTGCGGCTGAGAATTCTTGGGGTTGTAGATAACGGTGGCCTGAGTCTCCACCCACACAAAACCACCTTTCCTGGCCAGCATGCGGTACTGGCCTGTGGTGGCCTGGCCCTTGGCGAACACTGGAAAAAACAACACTCTCCAATCAGAAGTATTCCACAAGACATCTTTTGTAACAGTTTTGCACGTTAAAGTGAAACCTCTATCATGATCCGGTATGCATTCTGTCCAGGCACTCACAGTTGTGATGTGTCTTGGTGAGGTGATCTGAATCCAGGGCATGATAGTATTCGTACACAGACCTGTTCAGAAGATCATCCGGCTCATATCCCATCAGCTCTGTGATCCTTCGGGAAAGAGTGAGTGAGAGGATTTAGTATGCAATTATAGCTACATGCTGAAACAACTGCCACTTCAACGTGATCTGGATAGGAGACGTCTAATACAGGGGTCTCAATCTTCTTTGTTCTGTAACCCATTTTTTAGTTCTCGCAACACCATGCATTTGGTCTTAATGTGAACAAGAATGCTGATTTCTGTGTATTCACTGTTTGTGGCCAAAGAATTTATGGCAGCTGGGCCTTTACATTGAGTTCACCTCTGCGTCTAGATCACATATGTGTGTAATGTAGTATTAAGTGCAAGAGAAACGGTGTAATTCACAAACATGTCTAATCTACAGCTGTAACAATTTTGCTCAAAAACGGTTTCGAACACTAAAAATATTTAGTATTATTCATATACTATGATTGTATTTATTAAAATTTTGAATTTGTAACTTATTTTTATATTTTCAGTGTTAAATTAAATTTTAGTTTAAGGTTTTAGTAATTCTGTTAATTAGTTTTTTTTTTCTTATATTATTAATAACTATTACTATATAGCTTTCAATTGTGTTTATTTCGGTTTTCTTTTTGTTTTGCAGTTTATAGGTGAGCTCAGGGATAGTAACTAGTTATTATAGTATGTAGATACTACATACACGTACAACAGAAAAGTAAAAAAAAAAAAAAAACCAAACAAAAAAAAAATCTCCAACAACCATATCAGCATCTCTAGTGATGCCGAAACTGAGGCCCTGTTACGCCTTCAGCAAAGCAATAAAAAAAAAATAATAATAATACTACCGGTTTATAATAATACTACTTCTGCCACTAGGTGGTGTTAATAACATTTGTAAAAGTACAGAACACAGACTTTTGTGCTTTGGCCTACTAGACTTGTTCTGCAGAACTGCTTTTATTCAAAGAGATGTCAGCAACTGGTAGGCACACACAAGTATTCATTGCTAGGCATATATACCATCAAGGCAAACCCAAATACATTTTTAAAAAAAAGAAAAAAAAAGAAATGGGGAAATAAAGTGGGGCAGGCCAAACCATTTACACTTCAACAAAACAAAAAGAAAGAAAAGGAGCTCTGCGCCAATCTGTCTACATAATCCGGGGGAAATATTTATCTGCATCTCTAGTGATGCCGAAACTGAGGCCCTGTTACGCCTTCAGCAAAGCAATAAAAAAAATATAATAATAATACTACCGGTTTATAATAATACTACTTCTGCCACTAGGTGGTGTTAATAACATTTGTAAAAGTACAGAACACAGACTTTTGTGCTTTGGCCTACTAGACTTGTTCTGCAGAACTGCTTTTATTCAAAGAGATGTCAGCAACTGGTAGGCACACACAAGTATTCATTGCTAGGCATATATACCATCAAGGCAAACCCAAATACATTTTTAAAAAAAAGAAAAAAAAAGAAATGGGGAAATAAAGTGGGGCAGGCCAAACCATTTACACTTCAACAAAACAAAAAGAAAGAAAAGGAGCTCTGCGCCAATCTGTCTACATAATCCGGGGGAAATATTTTTTTTTCTGTTTGATGTATCCATGCTATTTTTTTTTTTACATAAGAGCAGGAACAGCCATTTGTAATTTTAATGTGCAAGGCTTCCGATTTCATTCGCTTTATTTTTATTTTTCAGTTATTTTTTTAATTTAAAGTCTTATGCTGCTTTAAAATAACAAAATATACAAGTTTGCAATATAATCTATTATGATAATCATAAACGCACTGGTTTGTAGCACAAATAGTTTTACCATTTACTGCACTTTGTTTTTTAACCTTTTAGTTATTTACCTATAGTGGTTAATAAATCGGAAGTCTTGCACATCACAGGAAATAGCTTTCATGCACTTTGCAAAATAAGGTGAATATGAGGCCATCACATCTTCCTGCTAACCTTTCATCACAGTACGAGAACTTCATGTCCAGAGTGTGGCGGCTAAGAAAGGTCTTGCTGTCCAGAGGCACCTCGATGTTCGAGGGATGAGGAATGGGCTCACAGATGAGCACAAGGTAGGTTAGAGGAGGCTCTTTAAAGCCAGAGTCTCCCGAACCCTCGCCGCGCTCCTGAACACGGACATGACCAGCGCAGTGAAGAACCTGTATCAGAAGAGAGAAGGGGAAAACTTCTGTTCAAAGTCTTTTTATAGCAGATGTGTCATAAATAACTACTATAAGGATGCTCTGTGCACAATAAGACTCAAGACAGTTTTTCTTTCCTTCTTCCTCGTTAAATTTTCTGTATGCTTTCAATGTCACCAAAATGAATGAACCATTTAAAATGAGCAAATCAGGGTAAGGCAATCTTATCCTTTTAAAACAAAAATATACCAGGAAAAAGTAATGCTAGGGGGAAATTATATACCAACAGATTAGTGATAGTCTGAGAAAACTTTGTTAGCATTCAGACAGCATCTCACCTTCCACGTAGCAGACTTGGTATTGACAGTCCGCCCTCTGCTAGTGAGTGTGCACTTCATACGCAGGAAGAAGCTGCGCTCTGTATTTTGTTCCTTGGTCTTTTTGGATCCTAAACATGGACAAAAAATTAATGCAGTTAATGCATTTACTATTTATGGCTGGTGTATATTTCTGCGGGAAAATGTTGCAGTGTAGCATGTGTGACTTACCTGTCTTATGGACCAGCATCTCTCTCAGCTCCTCATGGTCACATGGGTGTGAAAACTCAAAGATACTGTGACCAGTCAGATCAAACTGAAAGAAAAGATGGCAGAGAAAGTTAGCTACAACTTAAGCCTTAAAGCTAAACAGCAAAGAACAAAAACATTTAGCTACCTGCGTGAGGCCCATGCTCTTGCTGACATTCTCAGAGAGATAAACCATGTCTCCATCTTCAGACAGGACCATGAGGAAACCCTCCAGGGCCTTCAGATAAAAGCTGTTCAGCTGACACTCCAGTTCATTTTCCTTCTCTTCATCATCTGCAAAGCCAAACATAATTTAGCAATCTAATAAGCGCATGGTCACAGCAGCACATTAAGTTTCCTACACACTGTCAGAAAATATAGTATCTTGACAGTTACAACAGTTTACCACTAGGCCAGTACTCTCAAAAGGGTACATTTTAGTACCTAAAAAATAAATACTAGTATTATTATGCACCCTTGAAGGGAAGATAAGGTCCATATTAGTACTTGTTATAAACGCAAGGAAAGAAAGATTTAGTTTTGTTGACAATAGCGGGTTTATAAGTGCTTCTCATTGCAAGTTCGGGAAAATGTGTTCTCAAATGCATGTTATAAACATTTGTTACGATCCCCGGCATTGTTATTTTTGTGTGGGTCTTGTTTTGTGTACTGGTGCTTGTGTGCAGGTATTGGCTGTTCATCAAGGAACGTGATTGGTGGATTCTGAAGCGGATGACTTTAAAAAGGCCGGCGCTACCAACCCATGGCGAGCTCACTTTGGCGTTTGCTTCTGTGGCGTGAGGAGCTCCGGATTCCGTCTCCGTCAACAGATCACCAACCGCTTTGTGGTTACTGTTCGTGGTTCTTCCTACATGTGATTTATTCTGTATATTCTAAGAAAATCCTGGGAGCATAGGAGGGGTCTGCCATTTACTTTGACCTAATTTTGCGATGTGTTTTTGTTTAGGGAGTTAGGGAAGTTCATTTGTACTTTTCTTTATAATTAGGCCATCTAAATCTTCTCTTTATTTTATTAGTGGTTTTGTTTATTATTTTGGCCTTGGGCCTCTCCGAAGCTAAAAGCTCCTTTCATTCATTTCACTCTTATTTAATAAATTATTTAAAACTGTTATTTGTCTTTGGTGATCTGTTGGCTGTGGTCGGAATCCCGTTACCACCACTCGCTCGCCTCGCACCCTATTAAAATGGGCCGTAACACATTCCAAAGTCAGAGCAGATGCAGAGATGAGTTTGTGTGGAGCAGCACTTACTGCAAACAGGGCTGTTTCAAGACACTGAAAACACTGGATTATGAGCTGCTTGAGTGTAAATGAACATTTATTTAATTAAATCACAGCTTTTGCAATTTGATAACCATACTAAGCCATATTGCAATTTCAGTTAATCATGCAGCCCTAGAACATACTAGTATCTAAAAGGTACATATTAGTACTAATATGCACTCTTTGATAGGGTTGGGTATTGAAAATCGGTTCCAATTCCAGAATTGGATACTTTTTGTAAAATGAACATTCCGATTCCGCCTATCGATTCCTGTGCGCGCATCTTTTCTTTTTTTCCATCTGTGAGGACTCCGACTCTGCGATCTGCCAGGACCTTCCTCACTATTCTAAGCGCTCCAGTGGTTGGCTACACTTGCGATCAGCAAGTAACTTAAGTATAATATTTGTGATAAGCTAACATGTTGCAAGAGAAGTGTCACCACCAACATGACAAAGCACTTTTAATTAAACATCGTTAAAGATCGCGAACACGATTCAAACGCCAACGTGATCTTTCCTAAATGACAACGATTCAGCTGTTAAACCTTTGTGTGCGATCAACTTTCTGTTCGTCCCTGTGTGATTTGAACATAAAAAATGCGTTTGCGCTGCCGCTGACCTGAAGAGAGCAGCTGTCATGTATATGTATGAAACGGCTTCACAAAGAGTCTTTTCAACCACACAGTATCATTATTTCTGTTACAATCACTCAAATAAATCACAGAAGTACAGGGATAAAAGTTTATAGTTTGGATAAACACGGTGTACTGTACGGTATCGACTAAAATGGAGTATATCACCTTTTGAAAGCAATTTGAAGTTTCAAATAAAGATTAATCGATTATGTCGTTACGCCAGTAAGTGGCGAAAAGGAGCTGTTAAAAATGTATGTCTTTGAATCATTCATTCAAGAGATTCATTCAAACACACTGATTCATCCATTAATGAAACAAGTAAATCTTAAGTGAGTAATTGAATCATTAATTCATAAAATGTTATTTATTTAAAATAAAAATAAAAAACCTCAAATTTATCCAGAATTGTGCAGCTCTTTTTTGCACACAAACAGCTCTTAATCAAGTCCAGTTTTTATGTAGCCTGCTGATTTTTGTTCATGGTATTCTGTTGCAACTAAATGTTTTGCAAAAAGAGAGACAGAATAAATATGTTTGATATCTAAATGTTTGAATTCTTTTTATTTTTATTTTTTTAAACTACATCGGAATCGAAACTGGGAATCGATAAGAATCGGAATCGATAAGCAGAATCGGAATTGATAAAATTCACACGATACCTAACCCTACTATTTGAGGATTCTGCCCCAGTGACAGTGCAGATTGCACGTTTTTTCCTGTTCATCAGCTCAGCTTTTACAATATTTGTTTACAATATCTACTGGTGGCAATGTTTTGATTCCCTTTTGCATGCGGTTTAACTATTTTGCGTATGTAGATGAAAATATTCAAGTGAGCGTACTGACCAGAGCTCAGTAGCTTCCTCATGCGCAGGTAGCTGATGGCCAGCCTCATGATGGAGGCTTTGTCCAGGTGGGAGGTGACATTGTGTGGCAGGGGGAGCTGGTGTGCTAACTCGTAGAACACCTCGGACTCCTTTCCCCTGCGAGATCGCGCCGCATCCCTGGACTTCTCCTTCCTGCGGTCCGAGCTCACCCTGAAAAGATAAGGAAGGACAGTGTGGTGTTAGTTTTGCTCAGTGTTTGTGACGAGAGACCTCCTGCTTGAAGGCAGCAGCAAGGTCAACTTATTTTAAATTTCTAATTTTCATGGCATCAGAACTTGCAACGTCAGAGGCCAGAAAGATCGTTTCAATGTGACTGGCTGGTGAAAGGAGTGTGGACACACTGTGACAGACACAGTTACAATCCTTGGAAGCCAGCCAACAGTGATAAATGTTGTCGTGTCAGACAGTTTTCAAATTTCCCAACATAATCTTTTCGGTGCACTACAAGGATGTTTTACACACAAACAAGCCATAAAGTAACTGGTCTTACAAACAAGCAAGGTCAAGATCTGGACAATACAATAGCTCTTGGCCAGAAAATAACCTCTTTCCTGACAAACAGGTCATCACGAAAAAGCTTTTTGCTAAAATGAGTCTCTCTCATCATGATTTCTAAAGAAGCATGTCTATTACCTTGGGACCTCTGCCTATTCTATCACTGCCAAGACAGACTCCCACACATTTAACAAATGTTTCAGTTCATTGCAAGAATGGAGAGCTCTGAAAACAAGCAAAGCTACTGGCAACAAAGAGCAACGATGTAATGCACACTATTTAACAAAAGCCGCTATCTTCAGTTGTTCATTCACGGTTTACCGATGTAGAAAACTGTTCATCGTTAACAAAAGCTGACACAAGGCAAATGGATTAAAAACCCTGATAAACTTGTCTTTTCTTAATTGTAGGATTTCACAGAAAATCTCTCTTGAAGTGGCTTTAAGCAGAAAGTTAAACTCCTCAGATATCCTCAGAAGCTAATTCAACAAAACCCCACATCTTTTATCTGTTTATCAGGTCAGCTGACAAAAGAGGTTAAGCCTCAAATAAGCTTGAGATCAGATACGGAAACATCAAGGAACTTGATTTAGCCAACGTTTGCAATAACAGCACAAACACGTCAATGTCTGAAAAACAGGAGACCGTGTGGAGTGAGTCAATGGTGTTCTTCTGTTTAATTCGCCCAGAAGCATTTGAGAATTAAAGTTGCACTGGACAGTAACATTGCAACAATATAAAAAATTCCTAATGCATTGTGAGCAGCCGGAGGTAGAGGTCTTCACGGGTCCACTTGGATCCGAAAATCCGAGGTCCGACCCGAGAGGGTTAGAGTCCAAAATTTCTGAGTGCCTCGGACACGGGTCGGGTTCGGTATTGGCGGCCTCTGGTAATTTAAAATAAGTGTGCTTTTTTTCAAATGGACCCAATAAGACCCGAATTCTTTTAAACTATCCCGGATGTGTACTTGCACGTTCGCGTTAAGTGAGGAACGCACATAGAAAAGGAGCATATGTTTGTAACCTCGCCAACAGAAATCCATCTTATAGATTTGAGATCCATCAGGAAAATCCACTCGCGCTATTACGCTGCGTATTCATGCAGCCAGGGCTTTTCTTTTTTGTGTGCAGAAGCCTTTCGCCGGAGATTAGGTTGCAGACAACACTAGCTAAGCCATGAATTATGCTATGATCATTAGTTATGCTTTAGATTAGCCATGAAAAGCTATCGATTTAATTTATCATCAAACTATCATGTTTATTTTTCAAATCCACTGGTCACAACTGAAAGCCGAACTCAGAAATAACTTGTATCCATCAGGCAGGCAATAATATAAAGTAATAACAAAATTAAATAAATGTTAAACAAATGAAAGTAATGGAGAAGCGGCCAAATCAGTCAGCAGGACACTGGGATTTTCCTGACTGACTCCGGGGCTGCAGGCTGTGCACAGTCAATGCTGTTTACGTTCGGGTCCAGTCGGACTCGGGTCTAATTTCTTTGGGTCTGTCTCGGGTCTGGTTTTTCCTAGTTATTTATTTTATTTAATTTATGCACGTCGGGTTCGGGCAAGAAGTGATTCGGGTCGGGTACAGATTTTAGGACCTGAGAAGACCTCTAGCCGGAGGTCAAGATCCGTCATCATTGTAGTGTTAGTTCATCTGCATGTATTATCATCAACAGAAGCAAAATAACTCTTCCATTTTCTATCATAACCCATTAACAGTGATTTATTTGGCCAAGCAACACATTACACTGCCTGAACACCACACGTCTCAAACCATTGCTACAGTTAACAACTCTTTACGAAATATAATGCTTTCACTGCATAGAAACTTCAATTTTCTCAAAGTTAAAACTGACATTTTTCTGGCATGCATAAAACTATAATGTCATTTGGTTGATACTGCATTTCTCTTTTCTTTATTTACATATGAGGCCTTGAGGTAATATAAAGTTATAAAAAGTAGTCAGATTGTTCCTTTTATATCATGTTAGTTTGATTACAATATTGCAATAAAATTAGGGCTGTGCCTTGACCCAACAAATTTAGTTCAACATCTGAGGCAATGCCACAAAGAGCCCTGGACACGGGATTTTTTTTTTTCTGCCATATGTCTATTCTAGAGACATTTTGTTACACCTTTACTTAGTGATTATTTTGCCTTATGTCTGTTCTAGAGACATGTTACAGCTTTTTGATAAAGCTC